CATTTCAAGTGTAGACAAGCCCAAGATTTAATCAGCAGCAGGAAATGTCATTAAAAGTCACTACAGTCAACGTGCAGTGTCTGGAAGAATCCCTTGCAGAGCTTGGTAATATTATTGCAATGAAAAACAGTGTTTACGGAGGGATACATTATTTCTTATCTGATTGCAGTAGTGCCTAGAGCCCTGATCAGGTATTGAGTTCCCATCGTGCTAGGAACTGTACATACTTACAATGAAAACATGATCTCTGCTCCAAAGAGCATATAATCTAAGTATTACTTTAAAAAAATAAAACTTAACGATTTTTCCTTTGTAGCCTATCAAATTGTACCTCTTTTATTAAGTGTTGGAAAGTTCCGTGAAGTCTTGGCACAAGGCATATGTTAAAATAATGTTTTGTTTTCTGGACAAATAACTATATGCTTAGTGATGGAATTTCAATATAGAAATTGGCGCTTCAGCAGTTTTGTATTGGGGGATGAAGCACAGCCTGTTTGATAAATGGCCTACTACAAATTCAGATTCCCACTCATTTGTCTGGGTGATATATTTAAAGGGACCCCTTTCACTTGAAATCTAGTTAGGTTTAAAAACCATGAGCTAAAAGTCATTTCAGTTAGAACACCTGCCTCAGCTAATGTTTGTGGATTTACAACCCCAGGTTTTCATATCTTCTAAAATATTTTTCTCTCCTCTGCTGCTGTGTAATCAGTTTCCCAAGAGTTCTCAGATATGTAAAATAAACAAACTAAAAATACGGGGAGTACTTTTTCTCTGTTACCGTAATCTTTGGTGGGGGGAGGAGGGGAAATCATAGAATATCAGGGTTGGCAGAGACCTCAGGAGGTATCTAGTCCAACCGCCTGCTCAAAGCAGGACCAATCCCCAGACAAATTCTTGCCCCAGATCCCTAAATAGCCCCCTCAAGGATTGAACTCACAACCCTGGGTTTAGCAGGCCAATGCTCAAACCACTGAGCTATTCCTCCCCCCCCCCCAGTGCAAATGTAAATAAATATATTTGTGTGAATTTGAGTGCTTGCAGAGGATAGTTGGACTGACATCCCTTAATACTGATGGTGTCTCGACTCTTTACCCACAAAACAGCTACTGCATCCCTAGTAGCCTTGCAAGCTCCCCAGCTGTGTTGCAATGCTTCTTTGAGAAACCATCTCTAGGAGAGTTCACTTTCCATAGCCATAAACCTCTGTGTGCCAAAGAGGCTGCCAGTTCATGCCCATTGTGGTACTAGTGGCAGAGGGGTTGGAGTTAAGCTATGGACTCCTGTCTACTGTATTTCAGTTGGGCACAGTAGCTTCTCATCACTATTAGTCTAGGCTGGGTTTAAATGAATAACCTGGAAATGCATTTTTCTAATCTATTATCAAGCCCCTTTGCCATCCAGTACTCTTCAGTCTAGGTTTTTTTAACAAATAGGGTTGAGAAAAGAACTGTCCGTGTAATCAAATATGAGTGTCATTACAAACTATTTTGGGGTACGGGTTTGCTATAAAATCATGCTGGAGCCATTCATATCCTAAATGCCTGGATTATTGACTTTTAACTTTGCACGGACATTATACAAGTGTCAGCCCTTGAGTATCTCTAGGATCCAAAATACACTTTGCTCTCCCAGCTGACTAGCCCTGTTCCAAGAGGTGTCCTGACATGGATGCTAGTACACAAAGTAGTAAACATGAAGTCATGTTAACGTCACTGTCTGTTACAAATGCAGGAATAAATTTTCCAGCTGAAATTTGTCACTTTTTAAAGGGATGCAGCTGAGTCAAATGCTTTTTAAAAATTTCTCATGTTACAAATGACACCTTTAAAGGATCAAAACTGAACGTTTAAGTACTCTTACTTTCTGTGCTGTTTAGTTTTTCTGTTTTACCCAGCTTGGACAGTGAAAATGCACTAGTTAGTTTCACTTCTCAAGTTTTCGGGCACCGGGCCCACTGCTGCAATGTTCAGGCAGCAAACGCTGCAGGATAATGTGTTTGTGTTTGGGGGGGGGGGGGGTGGCGTGGAAGGGAGGGAGGAAGGAAGGAAACCAAAGGGCAAAAAGTCATATCGAAATCAAAAAGAAATTGTGGAAATCTCTCTTGCTCCTAGGTTTTTCTAAATGTTTGCTCTAACCATAACATTAATTGTATCTGAATTAAGCCAAATTAGACCTGTGTGTGCCCCTTTAAGCCCGCAAGAGCACATGGACAGTCTAGCAAAAAGGTAGTTGATAGTGTCCTTTCCAGTTACTTTACAGGTGCAGAAAATCATTTGGATTCTGTCCAGCTGTTCAGGATTAATTTCTGTCACTGAACTGGAGGTCATGGTATGGGCACATTAGTAGTTCTTAACTGGTGACAAATAGGGTGATGCAGTTTTAGTGACTAAATCTGTTTAAGAAGAAATTTAGTCCCATGGTCAATATTTTCTGCATCAGACATTATATAGGACTGATTTAGGAGGGGAGGAAATCTCAGGCCTTTTTTCTGGTGATTTTGGGGTTCTGGGGGCTGTGCTGCGTAGCTGCTACTCATCAGTAGGATACTCAGAAAGGAAATCGCCATTTGTCACTTCTTCCGAAGCAAGATAATGTGTGACAATAAAATACCACATGTAGCTTTTAGTAAGTGAATATTTGAGCAAGAGAAAGAGTGAGATACTGGAAATGAGGGTAACAGATTTACACAATCCTTGGTGTGACTCAGGCTGGCCAGTCAATTACAACTGTGGTAATTACTAGAAGAGGGGTATGGTCCAGTTGCCATGGAAATCAGTCTTTGTTAACTTCAGGGAGAGTACCCCAGGCCCCAGCTGGATAGGTGATGAAAGGTCATTTGACTTGGTCCAAGAGTAGATGTATTTAAATGAAGGTAGCTGAAGATGAGTGACTATCAGAGTAGTGAAAAGAGAGGAGCAGAGTGGGTTTATTAAGACCCTCCCAGTAATGGGCATGCTAAGAGAAATAGAGGGGAAGCCACACTTAGGGATGGGAAATGAGGTTATCCAATAAAACGTGTTTATATTCTACTTTTTAACCCCTTTTGCTGGCTCTTTCTCCTTGTTTGTTTCTTTGCTCCTGGTGGAGCATTTCAAGGGAAACTACTATAGAGCTAGAGAACATGATTATTAAAATGCCAGTGGCTAGTCTACACTGGTGGCAGGCAACGCGTGCATGAACTCAAGAGAAATGTCAAACATAGACAAGGCCGTTGATTGATACCAAGCCTATGCTAGCTAGGAAATTGTCTAGCTCAGGGTATGTCTACGCTGCCAACGCTATAGCGGCGCCCCTGCATCGCTTCAGTGTAGACCCTACCTACGCTAGCAATGTAGGTAATCCATCTCCTGACAGGTGGTGGAATTCTTCCATCCTCCTAGCACTTGTCTACACCGGGGGGTGGGGGGGGTTAGGTCAGTATTGCCATGTCTCTCAGGGGTGTGGATTTTTTTTTACACTCCTGAAAGAAGTAGCTATACTGATGTAAAATCCTAGTGTAGACCAGGCCATAGTAAACCTAGAGGCCCTTACAAGCCTCAGAACAGCCTTCTTCCTTATCCTCTTGAGACCCAAATTAGCTGTTTTTTTATTGGGTCGGACTTTGGAGAAAAAGAGTGCTTCTTACTTTTAAGGCCTTGCAGTGTCTTTATAAAGTTCCTTTATATCGTGTGCCTTTAGTTGTACCCTGGGAACTTAAATTCATAACTTTGCTAGATACTAAAAATCATGGATTCAGTAAGGGCACAGGATTTATAGTTCATTACACCAATTTGTAACCCACTAACCTCATTTATCCTGCAAACGTGAAAGGACTGAGCCTGGTACGCATAGGTTTTAATATGTATTCTAATTACTGATCGTAATTTGGGTCTGTCCCAAATTGACTTTATCCGGGGCCCTGCCTTGCATTTTAACTGCTTTCCAAGAATGTGAGTTTGCCACATTGCCCATCAGTGGAGAGCAAGCGCTCACCTCTTGTGCCATACAAAGATGAGCAAGTATTGGGAAATCAGAGAAATTTCACAATCGGATTAGATTCTCAGCTGTTCAGAATCTGTTTTTTAAAAACCTCCTGTGTGTGAAATAGACTTTGGGGTGTAACAGTACTTTCCAAATTCTTTGCTGCTGTACTGAATGAAAATTGCCAGCCCTGTAGGGTGCATCTTCATTAAGAAAAAAGGTGTGTTAACTCGTGTTAGCTAACATGTGGTAACCAACTACAATCTTAGTGAAGACAAGGCAGTTAGTATTTTAAAATGAGTTACTAGATCTAGGTAAATCTTAGGCTCCCTCATAGTAACTCAGTCTGTTAACACTTGTGAAAGCTACAAACTGCTTTGTCTTCACTGGGATTTTACCTCATGTTAGTTACCACGTTAGCTACCTCACGTTAAAAACACACCTAGTCAGGGCCGTCCCTAGGGGGGTGCAGGACCCAGGACATAGTTGCCAAGTTTCTATCTGTCGGGGGGTGATCCCCTCTGGCTCTGCCCAGGCCCCATCCCCACTCCACCCCTTCCATCAAGGCCCCACCCTGCCTCTCCCCACCCCTTCCCCACCCAGTTCCACCCCCTCCCCTGAGCACAGTGCACCCTTGCTCCCCCCCCTCCCCGTGCTGAGTCCAGATGCCCCAAAACAGCTGATTGGTGGTAGAGGCTGGAAGGGGGAGGTGCTGATCAGCAGGACCCGCTGGCAGGCAAGAGGTGGCTCTGGGGAGAGGGGGAGGTTGGTAGGGGGGCTCCTCCTCCCCCCACCTCCCCTCCTGCCTTCTCAGGAAGCGTGGGGCCCCCCAAAGTGTGGGGCCTGGGGCAGTCGCCCCAGTTTGCCATACCCTAGGGACGGCTCTGCACCTAGTGAAGACAAGGCCTTAGACTTTATGGTGGAGTAGGGGACTCTACACAGCCTGACCTCCACGTGCTGGTCTCCCCATTAGAGGGGGCTAGCTGCATTTCCTCCCACGTTACAAACTGACAATAGGTATTTCTTCTCTCTCCTAGGCCATGCTGCAGAGTGAAGAGCACAGATAAAGAACCTTCCACCACTCCTTAGAATAGTCCACCAGCCCTGACAACTTCATGCTGCAGGAGACAGCCTGATGCCCTCAGCACATCCTGCCATGGACGGAGGGAAGAACTTTCCACAGCATGAACACCAGCAGTCAGGCAGTACATTGTACAGTATGCCGAACCTCCAGACGCAGCTCAGCGTACCTGCCATGGAGGTGAGGGTCCTGTCGGGTTAGGGTGGAAATGGATGGATTTGGGAGCTTTTGCCAGAGGGGGGTGGTCACAGCAATGTTGAAATCTTGGGGGAAAAGGTAAATGTTTACAGTTGCTATTTGGTAAATTGGCTTTCCAGGCTGTCGTCTAGTGGTACGAGGTATTTATTTTTAGTGCTAGACATTTGAGGCAGCAGCTGCCCCAATCCATGTTGACTTTGAAGTTGGGGGGGGGGGGGAAGCAAGATGGTGACTGAAATGATGTAATTTTAAAGTCCATTATATTGCAAGCTGCTAGGGCAAGAGATGAAGAATCAAAGCTGGATTGCCAGCTTTCCATTTGTTTCTCCCCCTGCTGGCTGCCAAAGTGCTGGACCTTAAAAGTGTCACTTGTAGCTGTGTCTTTTTTGACACTGGTACACGACTGCATAGTATTTTATTAGGACTTAGTCTCCGAGCAGGATTGGGTTCTGGAGAAGATTGCAGACTCACTGGTGCGGCACTTCCTACTGGTCGGTCCGGGAATTAGCTCTTTTCCAGCCCTCACAGTGCCCAGTGTTGGCTTCAGACCCCCCCTCCCCCGTGTCCCTCCTGGACCCCATGCCCTTTACCTTGGGGTTTTGCCCCCAGCAGTACCCCCACACTCTGGGTCTCCCCTCCCAGGGAAACCCCCTTCCCCTATGCCCACCTTGCATCAGTGGCTACTGCCAGTTGTCATCTACCCCCTTTCTCTAGGGCAGACTATAATGGCCACTCATCACTGGCAAGGGGGTTGGACCTGCTGCCTTTGCCTATCCCGGGGCTGCACCTCTGCAGCCCAAGTACCTGCTTAGGCCTTTAACAAGGCCTCAGCCTGGGGAGTTGCCAGGCTGGAGCTCCTCTTGCCCTTCGCCAGCACTGCTCTGCTTCAGGTACCCTGTGCTTCCAGGCAGCTAGGTCCTTTCTACTCCAAGGCTGGAGTAAGCCTCTGAACCAGTTCCTCCCTCGCAGCCCTCTTATTAGGGCCATCTGGGCCCTGATTGAGCTGGCCACACCTGTGGTCAGCTACTCAGTCAGCTTCCCTCAGCTGTTCTCACTCCTCTTATCTCAGGAGCGGGGGCTGCTACAGGTCCCCATTGTGACCTGCTGTCCAAACACATAGCTTTACAATCTAAATAGAGTGCCCCTTGGGTGCCAGTACTTTTCTGTCTCTGATCATAACTAATCGCTGCTGCTTTCCTGAAGTTTGTGCCCCTCTTAGGCTGGCTCCAGGGAGACATTCAGCACCTGTTGCATAGCTGGAGCAGTTGGGCGTACACAATTTTGAGGTCAACTTTAAACTGATGTGAACTCTTAATGTTTTCAGAGAGCACCTGCCCTCAGAAAATCAGACGCTCTATAGATGACTCAAGTCAGGCCCCCAAAATGAGGCACTTCAAATTACTAGTCATTTGTGAAATTATTGGCCTTTGAAAACCTCTAGAAATGATCATATTTTTTTCACTCCTTTCTCCCAATTGCAGCCCATTCAACAGGCTGCAACTAAAATCATGTTCCTTGCCTGCCACTCCAATCACTTCTCTCTCTCTCTCTCTCTCTCTCTCTCTCTCTCTCTCTCTCTCTCACACAGCCTGGAGTCCCTGCATGGACTTCCTCTTTCCAGATCAGGTGTGAATTCTGTAGCTAAATAGTTACAGCTCTGGATCTGAGTTTTGCCCTTATATGGACATAGAAATAATAACTAAAAAAACAACTACCATGTTTTCTCTCACAAGTCAATGCCACTTGGGTCAGCGAACAATCGACAAAGGAGATTAATGTCAGTAGTTGAAAGATGACACAATATCCTGTTCGTGTCATGCTTCTGTTGGAGCTTTGGCCTCACGCTGAAATAGAACTTGCCATTGGTAATGAAAGCAGCTGGGAAGCAGTAAATGTAGCTGTCTAGGTATAAATCTGCCCCGACTAACTCCAGGTTAGCCAAGGCAGAGTCCAATTTCTGCAAAGTTTGTGATTAACTGGGTAGGCGAGGAGAATAACCTATGAGGATAATGACCCCAAAGCTCTTCCTGGAATAAGTAACAACGCAGCAGGTTTGCAAGTCAGAAGTGGTGTGTAGCATTAGACTAACCACCTGTAAACGATTAAAGCCACCACTGTTTGTTGCATGTGGGGAGAGGAGACACGGCTTGAATTCTGAGCTACCAGTGTGATTTAGCAGAGTTGCAGTTTTCTGATGCTGGAATTTTTCTTGGAATTGTTGTGCTTTCAGAACTCGATGCTGGCTCCTGATTGGTGGAATTCCTTCTATTCATCTGCCCCTTTCTCAACTCCATCTTTCCCAAGTGAAAACCAGTAAGTGCTGTTTATATAATTCCCCTACATATATGCACACCCGATGATTCAACTTTTTCTTCAGTGCTTTCTTCGTTTACTTTTTGCTTCACTAACTGATGGGGAAATAATGGCATCACAGAGTGTTGGTGGCATTTCACAAATGGCTACATCTTGGAAAAGAAAAGAAACAGCCTTTGTGAAGCCATGGGAAACTTTGACTTCATGTAAGCTTTGAAACTGATTTAGGGGAGAAAAGGCCTTGTTGGAGTCTAGATTTGTTACACTAATGGAGTTCATAAAATACACCATTAATACAATCTGGCTATCCTAATATATCATAGAGGCATGTAGGTTTATATGGCTAGTGCAGGGAAGAAAGAAGGTATTTCTGCTCTGAGGAAGGTAGAGTGACACATTTATGGATGAAGTGATATTAAAAGCTATGGTCGGAAGCTAATAATTCTTAGTAGTATCACCCCTGCTGAATTAAGCTTTCATTTTAAGTTGCTAGCACATTTATATTCAAAACGCACATGCCATATAACTCTGCAAACCAGAGCGTCTCAAGATCAGTGCATCTTTCTCTGGTTCTAACTGACAAGCTTTGCTAGTAACCTCATTACTAATCCCGCAAGGTGTGCGGTGGTGAGAAGTATGAGCGGATGTGAGAAATGGTAACTTCCTCCCAAGTAAATCCCCACCATCTGTGTACACCCTGCCTAGCTCAAGCCTGTGAAAGGCACAGCTGTAATGTTTTCAGTAAACTTTGCATAGGAACAATTGCCCTTCCTATGGTAGAATTCTGCCTTATATTTTTCCTTATAGAGTCACTGCAAAAACCTCCTGTTCAGTACCTTGAAGATAAGTGCTTTGAATGTTCTCTATCTACTCTAGAGTCAGTCTGAGCCCCTGTGAATACCACTCCCCTCTTGGTCACAAAACTATGCACACCTATCCACCCGGGTAAGGAGGACACCGGATATGACACACTTTTGGGATTTTCTCAGTTTGGGGCTCTAGCAGCAGGGAGAAGTGTTCGCAATAGTGCATTATGCCACCACAAAATGGATGAGCTCAGACTGAGAGACTCTGGCCAGTGAGCGTGGGAAAAGGTGTGAAGGGACATCATGTTGCTTTCTGTCACATCTAGTGAATGGAAGGAGTGGCATAGATGGGGACTAGGGTGAGCTGCATCTGTCCCTTGTTTCCAGTGGGAGGGTTGTTTTGGGCGGCGGGGAGGGGCCAATGGAAGAAAAGTACAAGCAGGCTCCCGAAGTTGAGCAAAGTTGTTAACTTGTGGGATAGACCCTTGGGCATAGTTCAGGGGGTGAGGACTTAGCCCAGCCCCCCCATCTGAAGGATTTGAATGTCTCTATAGACAAACAGAAAGATCCATTCTAATGAGCCTTCCCTTTCTGTGGGTTCATTTACACTTTATTTTAAAACCTGCTTTGGTGAGTTTCAGAACTCAGGTCTACAGACTTGGGCTTGCGCGATGGCGCTGAAAACAGCAGTGTAAACATTGTGGTTCAGGCTGGAGCTCAGGCTTTGAAACCTCCCCCACACCCCGACCCCCTGGCTTCAGAGGTCAGGCTCCAGCCCAAGCCTGGATGTCTACACAGCTGTTTTTAGCATCATTAAGTGAGCCCCATGAGCCCAAGTCTGTCGATCTGGGCACTGAGACTCATGGCCGGGGGTTTTAAATCACATACTGTGTGATTCCCAACCTAGTCACCTGCCATGAGAATCCAGCTACTCTGTTCGGATAACACTAGCGTTATCTCCCTTGTTTTTCTTTCTGCTTTTGTCTGCCATCCCCATCCCACCTCAGTGTGGGAAACAAGTTCTCCAGCAATGATGAGGTGAACAGAATTATAAAGCAGATTTTGCTAAATGGTTACCAAAAATCTGTTGTGCATGTGGTGGAAGTTATTCAGCCTTGTTAGTTACTCCTCAAAGCAGGAATTTGGGCAGGAGTTGTGGGATAAGCTCAGCCTCTTTGCTCTTAGCCAGGCTGTCTGCGTGCTTGGAAGAGGGTGTGCTTGGCTGGTTTTTTTTGTTTTTGGAAGTTGGTTTGTTTTTTTTTTTTTTTTTTTTGAAGACGATTCCTGTAAATTACATTTTCTGTATCCTCAAGGGAGCTACAACAATTTCTGTTTTGCTGTATTGAACCACAGGTTGAGATGGTTGGTATTTATCTATTGTTTTTTCCCTTCTGTTTGACCGTTTGCTGTCTTTTTATCCTTCGCTTTCTCCCTGTTCAGTGCTACCATGCTAGTACAGTGCTAGTACTCGCTATTCACATCCACTGTGCTGGTGATGTTATTGTTATGGCCCTGATCCTGCCAAGACTTAAGCACATGCATAACTTTACATGCAAGAGTAGTCCCATTGATGTATAGGATTCTTATCACATGTAAAGTAATACATGTACCTGAGTCTTTTCAGGATTGGGAGCCTATAATAGCATTTATTTGGTAGAGGATGCTAAAGTTAGGGTTGTAGAATGGTTTCAGTTTTAGCGTCCTGTTTTAATACCAAAAAATTCACCCTTCAGATGAAATTTTCCATTCTTTTATTCATGCAAAGGAGACACTTAAAAAAATAAAAAGAAAAGCTGGAGCAAACTCTGTCACAGGTTAGCAAGGTGCATGTATATAGGAAATAAGTTTTTTTGCTGGAGAGGAAGAAAATGACCACACTTTTGTGATTACGCAATTTTCAGCCAGTTCTTTTCCCCAAACGTAGATGAACTCGCTGAGCATTTACTACGTTTTTAAAGTTTGGCTCTTTTGGAACTGTGTGTAATGGGCATGCGTAATAGAAACGTTGAGAGTTCAGTCTTACACACTGCTCACTTACATATTTAATTGCAACTGTAGTGCCCTTACACTTTTCTTTAAAAACCATCTACAATGTTAAAAAAAAAGTTAATGAAACGTTGCATTCAAAGAGTTAAAATTGCAAAGTCAGGAAATACAAGCCAAGGTACTGGCAGTAGCACTAACGTGGCCAAATTGAACATGTGCCATGTTTTTCTTATTAAATGTATAGATTAATGTATTACTGTTAAATGTATAGTCCCAAACATACAGGATGTACAGTCTGGCCAAGCTGATGTTACTATTGCAATCTTAAAGGGGACACTGTCAATATGATAATGGCTCATTTAGATCACCCTTTAAATAGTATGGTAGCAATTAAAAAAAAATCTTTTATGATTTCTCTCTACTTTCCTGTTAGAAGGGACTTTTGGATGGATCTGAGAGCAATATCGGCAAGCAAGCTCAGGCCAATCGCTCCTCCCACCTCTCTTTCTTTCTGTGCACACACCTGTTCGCTGCCTGTCCAACTTCATTTTCAGCTCTGTTGCTGTCACTGGTAACTCCCCGGCACAGGTCCTGTGAGAGGTCATGGTAGCATCAGTATAGCAATGAAGCTTACTAGACACAAAAGTGCTGTCAAATGAGCAAAGTAAACCAAGTGAAACAAAGGAGGAAGAACAATCAAACCTCTCCTCTAATCTGTCAGTGATGATATCCTTAGGGAGGTGAACTGTAATGACAGTAGGTACATCACAGTCAGTGAGATGATTAAGTAGCTGGTGTCCCTTTCACCTTTTTAATTTCCTGCTTTTTTTTTTTTTTTTTTTGCAACAATAACTCTGCAACCTCAGTGTTGCATTAACTTATTTTGCATTTTATTTATATGGCATTGTAGTTGAAAAGCACCTTGTTAAACAGTGAAAATACAAAAATGGATAAAAGAGACCAGTATGGTGGACCCCTTTCTGTTGCCACAGCCTCCGTGTGGGAGGAGTCTCATTTGCCAGTGGCTGTGTTTAGATATGGCTTGTTCTCATAGCAACAGCTTTGTCTGAAGCAGGTTCTTCCAGTTTCTTGTAAGTACTTAACTTTCCTAGTACAAAGAATTTGGTTTAACAAGAGGTAGCAAAGTTTGCACCTTTATTCAGAACTTTCTTAGCCCACAAAAAATTACAATATGATAAAAATTAGTTTTGTAAAATGCTGAACAAAGCAAATCAAGAGGATCCTACATAGGGAAAATGTTTATATGTACAGTATTTCTAGGGCAGTGATCACTCTAATAGCTGGGCTTCTGTGAGTGAGTGGAGAATCAGGCCCCGTATGTTTAGCAGACAACGTTTCTCAAATTTTGGAACAATGCTTTCCTCTGTGACTTCCCCACACCAATCTGAATGTGGGATAATAATAATATATGGAGATATACCTATCTCATAGAACTGGAAGGGACCCTGAAAGGTCATCGAGTCCAGCCCCCTGCCTTCACTAGCAGAACCAAGTACTGATTTTTGCCCCAGATCTCTAAGTGGCCCCCTCAAGGTTTGAACTCACAACCCTGGGTTTAGCAGGCCAATGCTCAAACCACTGAGCTATCCCTCCCCCCCAACAACAAGCTCAGAAGAAGCATTACTTGCAATCTAACAGTGAAGAGGGAAAGGGCTGAGGGCTCGTCTATACTGGAAGCTGTAGTGCGTCTGGTGAAGACTCTCTCTGCTGGCGGGAGAAGCTGTCCTGCCGGCATGGCACTGTCCACACTGGCGCTTAGGTCAGTGTAATTTATGTCGCGTAGGGGGGTGGCTTGTTCACACCCCTGAGCAACATAAGTTATACCAATGTAACTGGTAGTGTGTAGACCAGCCCTGAGATGAATGCCAAGGCAGGCGTGGTTTCTATGGCCTAGGGCCTGTACCAGCAAAGGCCTAATCACTTGCTGATCCAGAATGTGATGACAGACTCTCTGAAAGGAGGCTGCAGGGTCAAAGCACAAATGCTCAATGAGATGCAAGGAATAAGGTCTCAAATATAGCCAGAGCAAGCCCCAGTAAAGCTTCAGATACCAAGAGGACATCTGGTCCATCACTTTATAGGCAGCTGGTATAAAGTGTAATATCCCAGTAAGTGCTGCTGCAGCCTGCTTAAGCTGCCAGGTGACTGAGAACCCGCTAGTGGAAGGAATTGCGGCGTTGGGCATTG